GCTCAGGTGCCAATCTTAAAAAAAATGGAACATGAAAGCTGTCTATCCACAGCAACAACTGAAAATAGGAGAGCATACCCTTCCTACTCAGAACCCTGCCCAGGTCTGAGTCCAAGACAGCACAAGACAACAGAAAGCTATTCAGGCTTTATACAGTGTTTCTTCACTCCAGTCTCACCCTCAGCAGTCCCCCTCTCGTTCTTCCTCCCTCTCTCCCTCCACCCCGACCTCCTCCTCCTCCTCACTGTCAGCCTTACCAAACAAACTCTCAGAGGAAATGGAGACTCAGCTTTGATGCCACTGTGTCAATGCTGAACTGACTTCTATGTTGAAACCTTCAGAGCAAATATTCTCCAATGATGTGTGTGAGGCTACACAACAGGCAGGATCCCACAAAGATAAATGGACTGACAACACCTAAGCCAGGAACATCACCCTTCTACAGTCAGATCAAGTACTCTTACAACGCCAGGCACCTGGGTTACCAAGAACACTGCTGGTCACCTGCCAGAAGAGGAGACCTATGCACCTGAGGAACTGCCATTTTCCCCCACAGTCCCATAAGTGGATAAGAGCCCCTAGGGATAAAGAGTTTAGTCTGCAGCCTGAGGCCCAATCTACCACAGAAGATTCCAAGGTCCCAGAACACATATGAGCAGAACGCACCTTTAGGATCGAGTTTCTCAACTCAGCACTATTGACATTTTGGACCAGATAAGTCTTTGTTGTGTGGGGTTATCCTGTGCATTATAGGATGTTCAACAGCACCCCTGGCCTCCACCCACTAGTACCCCACAGACTCCCTTCCTAGCAGCTATGACAACCAAAAATGTCTCCAGACCTTGCCAGATACTTCCTGGGGAGCAAACTCACCTGCGGTTGAGAACCACTGCTCTAGGATAATAAGTAATAAGACAGCCTGAAATCCAAAGAAAGTTGCTTGGATCTCCCTGCCAGTGTAACCTGAGACTGGGGTGGGGGGGCTGCTGGAAAGCCAGGATCTGAAACAGCAATGTCTTCAAGGGCCATGAAGGTAACACAAATGAGCAAAGTCAAGAATGTCTGGGTATGAAACAAGAGGAAGTGGAGGACCCTAGTGGACCGGAGAGTATATGTCCATTTAAAGGGAACAACCACTACTCAAACGCAGCTGACTGCGTCAGGCAGGAATTGGGGTCCAAGGTTGTCAGAACTTTTGATTTTTCAAGAGAAAGGGCAAGTCCTGATTTTCAAATGTTGGCAAGTAATTCAAAATTGTTTAGAACATTGTGCAGGCCAAACAAATATATCTGTGGGCCAAGTCTGGCCCATGGCTCATCAGCTTGCAGCTCTGCCCTAGTGTTGGTTATTACGGAGACTGCCTGGGCCTTTTCTTCTAGGATGGAATTGTCTAGCATGGCATAGCTGTAACTTCTTTAGGCAGTCTCCTAATCAACAACCTGGACCCCGCTCATGTCTCAATTTCAAGACTAACTCAATTCTCCTATCCTGCCTAAGTCTCATTCTGGATTTAGTGCAGATCTTTGTTCAATTATGACTTAATTGGTTCCTTCCAATTTATGTCTCTTGAGACCAGGCTCCTCTCACTGACACCTTTGCCCAAGGAAACTCCCTCCAGCACATTCCAGCTCTGTTGGATCCATAGGCCTGATTCTATGCCCTAAACTCCAAGAAGAGAAGTAAGCTGAACCCTAAAGCTTAGCTGGTTAGGATGGGACATAGTCTTATGACTTGTCCCCCCCACCCCAGTCTCAGGTTACATTGGCAGGGAGATCCAAGCCCACCTCTGACAAGTTTCTGCCCTCAAACCTGCATTATGGAAACGGCTGGGCTTCTGGGACAAGAGGCTTACCAGAATTCAGATCCTGCAACTTGGGTAAAAGTACATTTGAATGAAAGAAGCTACAGATACCATGACTTTGTATTTCTAAGAGGTGAGGTCTCTCCTCTAATCAAAAGAGCAGTTCTTGGTATGGGGATGGGCTCCCTAAACACAAAAACAACAGGGAAAATCATAAAGGAAAAAAGATTTAGGGGGAGGCCCCATGACCAAGTGGTTGGATTCACATGCTCCACTCCAGCAGCCTGGGGTTTTGCCGGTTTGGATTCTGGGCGCAGACCTAGCACTGCTCATCAGGCCATGCTAAGGCAGCATCCCACGTAGCAGAGCCAGAAGGACCTACAACCAGAATAGACAACTATGGGGGCTGCCCTGGTGGCACAGCGGTTAACGGTGCATGTTCTGCTTCGGCGGCCTGGGGTTCAATAGTTTGGATCCCAGGTGCAGACATGGCACTGCTTGGCAAGACATGCTATGGTAGGCGTCCCACATAGAAAGTAGAGGAAGATGGGCACGGATGTTAGCTCAGGGCCAGTCTTGCTCAGCAAAAAGAGGAGGATTGGCAGCAGACGTTAGCTCAGGGCTAATCTTCCTCAAAAAATGAATATACAACTATGTACTGGAGGGCTTTGGGGAGAAGAAGAAGAAAAAAAAAAGAAGATTGGCAATAGACGTTAGCTCAGGTGCCAATCTAAAAAAAAAAGACTTACCAAATAAAAATCTTCTGTACATGAAAAATCATATACTGAGGTGCTCTTTGATACAATTATTCTCGGAATTCATCCTAAGGCCATTATGAGACCAATGCACAGGCACCCTCAGGTGCTCAGATAAGAGAACAAATTTACAACCCTTCTAGAAAGGAATTGGGTAACACATAAAGATCCTTAAAAAAGTTTATTTCTTGGGGCCGACTCTGTGGCCAAGTGGTTAAGCTCACACGTTCCACTTGGGTGGCCCAGGGGTTCAACGGTTCACTGGGTATGGACCTAGCACCACTCATCAAGGCATGCTGAGGTGGCCACCTACACAGAAGAAGGTACATCTAGGATATACAACTGTGTACTGGGGGGCTTTGGGGAGAAAAAAAAAAAAGAGGAAGATTGGCAACAGATGTTAGCTCAGGACCAGTCTTCCTCACCAAAAAGGTGCTTAAAAAAAAAAGAAAAAGTTTATTTCTTTAGACAGAGGGATTCTCTTGTATAATTCTATCCTAAGAAAATATGCAGAAACTCTGAAAATGATTTATATACAAAGACCCCCACAGCATCATCCTTTATCATAATATTATAGAGCACTTACTATATGCCAAGCAGAGAGAAGTACTAGACATATATTGATTCATTTACTCTTCACAAACATCTTTTCAGATAGGTACAATCAATATTCTCATTTTACAAATGAGAAAATCAAACTAACCGTTAACTAATTCCTCCAAGGTCAACAGCTGGAAAAACAGTTGGTAAAGCAAGAATCAAATCTAGTCTGGCATGGGAGGCTGTGATCTTAACCACTATGCTATACTGCCTGGAAACTACATATGTGTCCACAAACCATGTTTTCTAAAAATATTTGATGAGGGGCCGGCCCAGTGGCACAGCAGTTAACTGCGCATGTTCCACTTCGGCGGCCCAGGGTTCGCCAGTTTGGATCCTGGGTGTGGACATGGCACTGCTTGGCAAGCCACGCCGTGGTAGGAGTCACACATAGAAAGTAGAGGAAGATGGGCACGGATGTTAGCTCAGGGCCAGTCTTCCTCAGCAAAAAAGAGAAGGATTGGTGGCAGATGTTAGCTCAGGGCTAATCTTCCTCAAAAAAAAAAAAAAGCAGAATATAAAGTTACATGCAAAGTATGATGCCAGTTCTATAAAAGAAAAATGAAGACATGATAGAACTATTAAAAATGCTCATGTCTTGGTGGTAGATTATGGGTGATTTAAGGCTAAGTTAATTTTCTCCTTAACGAACATGTTTTATAATCAGAAAATTATTCCCTTTTCTAGAAAGCTCAATCAGGCCAGAGTTCCCCTGGCCAAACTCTATCAGATATCCAGTTGAGTACCTATCTTCTCTCCTCCCAGGGGTATCTGTGGAGGGGTTCCCTTTAACATTTGTCTTTAGCAAATTCCTTAAAGTCAGGAGGCACAGTGCACTGTGCAGTCCTTTAGTGCTGACTCCAAGGTACTCTCAGTCTCTTTTTAACACTGTGGATAAACTACATCCACTGCCAAAGCTTTTGTAAGCAGAGATATGGAAAGAACAGAGTATAATTAAGTGCCTCTGGCAGCACAGTGCTAAGGAACACAGGGAATTCTGGGCCACTTCTCAGATAAAACACCAGCTCTACAAGACTGTGTAAATTCACAGCAGTCTTCTCTCCCTTTCATTGATTTCACATAAATCCCTCCTTACCACCTCATAAGAGAAAAAGGAAAACAAAGAAGGATCCACTGGGATCTCTCAGGCTCTGTCCGCAGAAATCCAAATATGGGGTAGAAGCCACCTTCCCTTCCCTGGCCGCAGGCAGAGCTTGTTTACAAAGTCAGTCAGTGTAAAGAAACCTGAAACAGCAATGGGAAAAAGCCATTTTGGTGTGGTGCCTGCTGCTTAGAACAGACTGCAGAGAGTGGCAGTGACAGGAAGGAGTGGTCCTGTGGGCCTGAGGGATAATGCCCTGGGACCCTACAATCTAGAGAAGCCCATTCCTCACTGACACCTTTAAACTGGTTTAAGATTAAAAGCTGGGAAGCAAAATAACTTTTCTTTTTTTGGGCAGCAGAATAAAGGCATCAGCACTGGTGTTTTTTCCTGGGTTAAGTTACAACTAGTGATGTCGACTCCAATCAAAACACCTGACAAGACAAATATAAGACATGCAACAACCTGTCACACAGACTAGGGAAGAGAACTCAGGGACAGCCAAGAGCAGAAGGAATGTGAGGCAACAAAGGCCACAAACAGATTCAAACTTCTTCCATCCCCATCCTCTACCCTTACTTATCTCTCAAGATCAAATGACTGGTGAAATTACTTCAAAAGATCAGATGCCCCTCTTTTCTCCCCCAAAAGAAAATATGCTGTTCAAATATAAGGTACCATTAGCATTATTAAAGTAACCCACACCCCCACACATACTCCCCCACTAAGCCCCCAGACTTACATATGCAAGCAGCAGCGAGGAGACGGCAGGCCAGGTATGGGGGATCACAGGTAGGGAAGAAGGGCTGGATGATGTAGTTGGCAAAAGTGATGGCGATGATGGCCTGACTGGTGGGCTCAACGATTAGCAGGGAGGCCCACAGGCGGATGAAGGCAATGAAGCCCCCAAAGGCCTCTAGAATATAAGCATAGCTGGCCCCAGATTTGGTGATGGTGGTCCCCAGCTCCGCATAGCAAAGGGCACCCACAACGGAGAAGAGCCCACCAATGGCCCATACGACCAGCGACAACCCGTAGGAGGCAGTGTATACCAGCACACCCTTGGGTGAGACAAAGATTCCTGAGCCAATCATGTTGCCCACCACCAGGCTGACCCCATTCAGCAGAGAAATCTCCTTCTTCAGCTGCATAGTTTCTGCAGTCCCTTGAGGTAGCATGCTGACATCTTCCTCCTTGGGCTGGCTGGCTCCAGGAATGAGATGGTAGTTGGCAGTGGGGCGCTCCAGCTCGTTGGTTTCCATGGCGAATGGTTCCTTCACACCTGTGTTTACTGTGGTCTGGCAAAGAATATAAGAACGTCAGTCTAGGGAAAGAGCTGGTGAGGCTCTGGTTTAGACCTGCAAGGTAGGCAGATTTCCCTGCCCACCTCTTATGTAGGGACAGCATGCATCACACACAGATCTAAGTACAATGAGCCTGTCTCAGTTCTCACCACAGGACACAGAGAAATGAAGGTAGGCAGACCTCCACTGCTGCCAAGAAAGACACCATGAGAGCTCAGGCATGACATGATGGCAACTTCCAACAAGAGGTACCTGGCTTGACGCCCAGAGTAGGCTGGCATTAGGTGTAGGTTTTGCTGAGGTGTAGGTTTTGCTCTGTTCTTACAAGCTTAAAACCTGCCAACCTGTTCTGCAGAGGGACCAGAGTCCCAGCACTAGGTTCACAGCCCTACCCAGTCTGATAGGCCTCTCACTGTCTATACCCACTCACCTCCACCCAAACATAAACAGGGACTTCTTCAGTGTCCCGCTACATGTGGAGAAATCTGTAGCCACTCTCAGACAGGCAAAGAAAATAAGCATGTGGTGGGAAGGGCTAGGAAGATGCTAAGCCCAGGGCATATTGCTTTTGCAGAGACTGGCCTTCATGAAAATACACACCCTTGTGTCACTGTGTCCACAATACTACCTTACTTCCTACATTGCTGCTTGCCCATTCAACACCTTTGTTTTTCCAAAGAGCCCAGAAAAGAGGGATAACATAGTAAGACCAGATGGAAAAGGAACATCCAGAGGGCACTCTAACCTGGGGCTTATCTGCTATTGGCTTATTTGCTTCCCTTCTCAGAATGCCCCTTTCTACCATCTGGAGTTGTAAAGAGATTCTCTCAGAATAGGACCCAAGAGTCTTGACACTCAATCAAAGCTACAAGGCTTCTCTTATCCACAGATCTGGAATTAGAAGGCATCCTGTAAGGAGATGGTGCACGCACGCACGTGCGCGTGCGCACACACACACACAACTACTACTACTATTACTACTACTACGACCTTTCATTCAGAGCTGGGCCAGTCCAGAAACCTCAGGGAACCTACCAGTGAAGGACCCAGAATGCATCAGAAGAAGACAAGCACCATCCTGACCCTACATTCAGCATGGCCTTCTCCCTCCCTCAAGTCCTATGCCCAAGGAATCAGGAATTCAGATGCCCAATTCCCACCTCATCTTCTGGAGAAAGAAATCTGGTTAGCCATTTGATTCCCACCCAGGAGTCAGTTCTTTAAGGTCACGGAGACAACTTCCATGGCCAAAAGTGGGATCAGTAGATCATCTTCCCAGAAGCCTCTCATCTACTCAACAAAAACGGATGTACTGGAACCTTGCCTCCTGGAGATAAGAGCAAGGGAACCAGAGCTACTCAAGAATGAGTAATTTTCAGGGAAAACTCCAACCTCCACAGGCTCCACCCAAAATTCCTGCCTTACTTGTCCCAGTCCCTTTCCAGAGTCTGGACCTAAGCCCAAGTGAAAAAGCTCCCCTGGGGCACTAATAAGCCTTCTGTCACTCCCACAGGAGTTGAGCCAGCCTACCTCTGCTTAGATGAGGCCTGGCTTTAAGGTGGCACCACCTTTCCTTTCACTCCCGGAACCAAGCCATGAAGGTTTCCCTATGCAGGCACATGGGAACATATTTCTTTTCACATGTCTGCCAGGTGAGCCCCGACATCCATGAAAACAAAACTAGGAAACAGCTAAGAAGCTTATATTCTCACATAAGAGTCAGGTGCAGAGACCCCTAGGTTGCCCTTTTCCACCCAACTCAACAGAGGCAAGCAGAGAAACTTGGCCCGAGGGACGCTCCAGCTTTTCCTATTCCATCAGACTCTAGCTAGGGGGGAAGGGGGACTGGGGCTACGAGGGGTTCTTTTTGGATTTCTGACACCAGATGTGTGGGTTTTCTACACATCAAGCAATTTTGCAACACCAGCTGGGTGTCCTACAATTTAATCAGTTCTGACACTATCTTCCTGGAGATAGTATCAGATCCCACAGGTTAAGGGCTCAGTCCTATAAAAACTGTGCGCTCCCCCCACCCACCCCCTTTAGATGCCAACTGCAAGTCCAGGATGTTCCTGTGCTTCTGATCAACTGGCTATAAATCGAAGGTTCCCACTACCCACTCCTTGGGTTCAATTAATTTGTTACAGCAGCTCACAGAACTCAGGAAAACAGTTTACTTACTAGATTATCAGTTCATTACAAAGGATATAACTCAGGAACAGCCAGATGGAAGAGATGCATAGGGAAACGTATAGGGAAGGGGAGATAAGCTTCTCTGCCTTCTCTAGGCACATTCTCCTAGCACCTCCACGTGTTCACCAACCTGGAAGCTATCCAAGCCTCATTCTTTTGGATTTTTATGGAGGCTTCACTACAAAGGCAAAACTGATTAAATCATTGGCCGCTGGTGATTTGTTCAACCTCTAGCCCCCTCCCTTCCCAAGAGGTCGAGACTGGACTGAAAGTTCCAACCCCCTAATCACAGGGTTGGTTCCCCTAGCAACCAGCCCCCATCCTTAGAGGATCTAGATGCTTTCCAAAAATCACCTCATTAACGTAAACTCAGATGTGTTGAAAGGGGCTTATTATATAAATAATAAATAACAAAAGACATCCATTTCATCTTTATTTCTCTGAAACTATTTCAGGAACTGGGAACAAAAGTAAATATTATAACAAAAAAATGCCCCATGGCTATTATATGGGAAATTATGGGAGCTGTGTACCAGAAACAGTGGACAAAAATCAAATATATATTTAATCACACTATCACAGGGAGGGAAAGAGAGGTAAGCTCATTTCACTGGAAAATATAATCTAGTATAAAATGGAATTTCCTTGACTTATAACTTCCATTTAGGAAGGAGAAAGCTAGGAAAAGTATCACTCCTACTGCAATGACAAGAAAAAGCCAGATAATTTACAAAACTTTTTTTTTTTTTTTTTTACAAAACATAACTTTTCTTTCTTTCTTTCTTTCTTTTTTTGGTGAGGAAGATTGGCCCTGAGCTAACATCTGTTGCCAATCTTTTGACTTGAGGAAGACTGTTGCTGCACTAATATCTGTGCCAGTCTTCCTCTAATTTGTATGGGGGATGCTGCCACAGCGTGGTTTGAGAGTGGTGCTATGTCCGCCCCGGCATCTGAACCTGAAAACCCTGGACCGCCAAAGCAAGAGCACGTGAACTTAACCACTATACCACTGGGTCAGCCCCCCACAGCCCCCCATAACTTTTCTTGAAGCCGTCAGGGAGCTGAGGTTACAGAGCAACCACCTGGACTGAAATGGAAGGAAAAATAGGCACCTCCACGGAGAGATGTAAGCTCTGGCTCATCTGTGGCAGAAGAACAATGGGACCACCATAGAGGCAGGTAAGAAGAATTCAGGTACAATTTTTTTTGTTTTTTTGTTTTGTTTTGTTTGTTGTTTTTTTTTGTTTTGTTTTGAGGAAGATTAGCCCTGAGCTAGCTACTGCCAATCCTCCTCTTTTTGCTGAGGAAGACTGGCCCTGAGCTAACATCCATGTCCATCTTCCTCTACTTTATATGTGGGACACCTAACCACAGCATGGCTTTTGCCAAGTGGTGCCAGGTCCGCACCCGGGATCCGAACCGGCGAACCCCGGGCTGCTGAGAAGCAGAACATGCGAACTTAACCGCTATGCCACCAGGCTGGCCCCCAGGTAAAATTTTTAATTAATTATTAAAGGTCGAGCGTGGGTTAGCAAGGGCCATACACACTCAGAGGTTTTTCTCCACAGACGTTGGTAGATGCTCATAAGAAATACTAGGCAGGAGACCAGGGAAAGCCTCTTAGTAGTGCTAGCCTAGAGAAGGAAAGCAGTCAAAGGAATGCAGCCACTGCTCTGGGAAAAAATACAAAGGTCCACCTGATCCAGCCTCTAAAGAATAAAAGTCTTAAACCCCTGGGAAATGGGTGGCAAACTCTGTCATTCCCAAGGCAGCTGGGGCAGGGTAAAAGAAAAAAGAAACAGGGGCCGGGCCGGTGGAGCAGTGGTCAAGTGCGCACGTTCCACTTTGGTGGCTCAGGGTTGGCAGGTTCAGATTCTGGGTGCAGACATGGCACCACTCGTCAAGCCATGCTGTGGTAGGCGTCCCACATAAAAAGTAGAGGAAAATGGGCATGGATGCTAGCTCAGGGCCAGTCTTCCTCAGCAAAAAGAGGAGGATTGGTGGCCGATGTTAGCTCAGGGCTAATCTTCAAAAAAAAAAAAAAAAACAACCCCCTACACCTTGGGGAGAGGCAGGAAACTCTGGTCCAGACCATTAGAAGTGTCCTACCTCTGGGAGACAGGCAGGATCACCCAGAAAGATCTACCCCGCAGCCCCCAGACCCAGGGAAACAGGGCCTGCCTAAGACTGAGGCTGAACCAAACCAACAGAGAACTCCTCTGCTCCCTGCACAAGGTTAACAAGCACCCAGCAACAAGACTGTGGTAGACTGTGTATTGAGGCAAAGGGGCACAAAGAAGACCTAAAGCTGAGAGTGGAGCATAAATATTGAGAAAAACCCACCCTCCAAACCAACCCTAAGAGCAAGGAAATACAAGAGGAATTTGAAGCCACAGGTGTAACTAAGGTAACCATAGCAGCAACAAAACCCAAACCCAACTCATCTCCCAAGGGACTCAAACTCCCACACTCACAGCTCAGTACAAGAAGAGGCAGACCCATTTCCCAGAATAAATGCCAGGTACTTCAGTCTCTACTGTTTCTACATACCATGTCTGACAAAAACAAATTACAAGCACCACAAAAAAGCAAGAAAAACAACCACTACCAAGAGGGAAAGTAATCAACAGGACAAGACTTAGAGATGATCCAGATATTGGAACTATCAGACAAGGAATTTAAAAGAACTATGATTAATACATTAAAGAATCTAATGGCAAAGTTGGAAAGCATGCAGAAACAGATGTGGAATTTCAGCAGAGAGATGAAAACCATAAGAGTCAAAATATGAAAAAAATAGA